AGCTGGGGTAGACGCCGGCGGTCTTGTCCACCAGTCGCGGTGGCGCGGGGTGTCGCGCGGAGTTTGCCTTTCTAATCCCTGGAAAATAATGGCTGTTTGTTGATGCCAGTGGAATCCGCCGAGGATTGATTCAAAACGGGTGGGACAAGCTGGTTAGCTGGTCGGATTAGAGGGAGGGTGAATTATAAGGGGAGGCTCGGTGCTCGTTTAGCCCCGGGCACCTGTCGCGAGTTGTGGAGTTGTTTCGAGCGTGGCGGCGGCGAGGCGCTTCGTGCCACACATCGCACATGGTACCTAACTCATAACACCGTTCTGTCTGCTCTTACCTTTCCAGATTCAGATGGCGCGATGAACCACCACGGCGACATCCTCGCCGCAGACTCCACGAGAGACATCTGCTCTGGGATCCAGAGAAAAAGGTAAGTCTCGGTCTGACTCGCACGACTGCACACTCTGCCCGAGCACCAGCGACAATAAACCACTCCGGTGGTGAAGCTGAAATTGGGCAACAAGAAAACGGAAAACGCTATGCAATAACACATGGCCACTTCGGTTTTCTTGTCCCCCGCGCATACTTCTTTTAGCTTCTAGCATGATTTTTTTGCCGGTCCGGCGTCGGTTCGAAGGGCTCAATATGATGACAACTTGGATCGGGAGGGAGCGGGGGTACAACGCCATTCATACACGCTTGAAGGTGTCCCCACACTGAAGGTTTAACGAGGCGACGCCAATGACAGCGCCTACCACGTGCTGGGTAGGCCAACCCGCCAAACGGCCGTGTGGGGACGGCGGCCCGCCCTGAGCGCCCAAGTGCGGCGTCGAGGCGTCCCCTCGGGGGGAGTTCATTGTGGGGACATCTTGATGGTTGAGTAAAAGTGAACTTATAGTCTGACCAGCCAAAGAATGCTCCTGGGTTTGCTGTAGCCGCCCATATCAGCCCATGCTACGCCAGAAGCATTCTTTCGCTGGTTCGAGTTCGAGTATGCTAGTCTCCTGTGAGTAGTCCAAAAGCGATGCGTCCCCCCTTCGGTCGGACGCGGCCTGGATCCGCTCCTGTCGAGGCCGCCGCAGCTGTCCAAGACTGCTCACCTTCATTCTGGTCCTTCTCGCAGGGAGCGCGGGGCCCTGTCCGACTGCAGCCTGGTGGGTGCGGGCGTCGGCGCCGTCACCGGGATGCCGCTGAGCCGGGAGGAGCGCCGGCGTCGGCGCCGCGCCACGCTCAAGTATCGGACGGCGCACGCCACGAGGGAGCGCGTGCGCGTGGAGGCCTTCAACGTGGCGTTCAGCGACCTGCGCCGCCTGCTGCCCACGCTGCCGCCCGACAAGAAGCTCTCCAAGATCGAGATCCTCCGCCTGGCTATCTGCTACATTGCCTACCTCAACCATGTGCTGGAAGCATGACCCACGCCCGACGCCCCGCCGCCGATGTCCTTCGAGGACTACGGCGGGGGCGTCGACGCCTACATGTACTAGGGCGGCTGGGAGCCTCCTCCGCCCTCCCCCCGGTGGTGCCCCGCTCTGCGTCACCGGATGCACGCACTTACTTAGGTGAGCGGTACGCAGCCTGTTGTGATCACAGAACACGAAATCCCACGAGAAGGAGACACTTTTCTCTTAGATTTTATACAATTTGATCGTGGAAAATGACATGGCATATGGACAACCTTTTACCCACCGTTACGTTTACGTGATTCTGCAAGTGTGGGAGTCAGTGTGGCCTGCCCACCGGGGGTTTACCTAGCACCTTCGCAGCGCTCTGAGAGTGTGGTCCCACTCTACAAACAATGCACGTGCACCTCCCTGGCCAGAAAGTGCGAAAGTATCTGTCTCAAACTCAGTTGAATCCAAGTTGAAAATGCAGACTTCAGCAGGCTTCAGTTACTGTACATATTGAATGGACAAAGAAGTATAAGACGTGAAACTATCTGTGAACAAAGTGAACCAGCACTACCATCAGCGAGAATAATTATGTACAGAAATACTCAGCAGTATTAGTTATAGGGCTGTACTGTGACTAATACCTATGTATAACTATGTATAAT